TGTTATCTTCATCATTTCCTTGTAATTTTACAAGGTTATCGGAAAAGTAAAACGTAACTTTCTTCAAAGATGGGAAAAATTTCATTGAAATCTGCTTTCATCGTTCTTTTAACTTTTACTCGTAAGTTCGATGTTTTATATAGCACAGAAAACTCAAAAGTTCTACCTCTAAATCTATTCAGTATACTGTATATCGTGTCAATTATGTTTATTACATCTTTTGTTGTGTAGTGATGATTCTCGTAACAGTTGAGATTATTGAGGCAAAACGTTACACGAAGAAACTACTATGTCCTTATTGCATCATGTGGCTTCACCGCCAATTAAGCAACTAGAACTTAGTTGTGACCCAGGATGCAACCTATGGTGTTTTTATTTGAGTTGTTTTTGTTCATGTGGTGGTCCAATTCCAAAAATATAAATTATGATTACAACATAATAAAAAACATTTGAGTTGTTATTGCGCATCTCTTCCAGTTCCAAAAATATAAATTTAGGATTATAACTTAATAAAAAAATATTGTTTAACATGATTGCCTATTTAACTTTCATGTGATAATTGTGTGAATCATACTATTAAAATGCATTCTCTTTTTTTTTTTTTTAAGTTTAAATGCATTCTCGATTTTTGTTTAGAGAAATTGGGTTGAATAACCCAAAAAAAAAACTATAATAAAAAAACTAACCAATTAACTTAAATCTAATGGACACAACTAGACCTTAATTATTTTAATTTTTGTTAGATCCTTAATTATTATTATTTTTTGGTTAGTGAACAAATTAACCTTTTTGTTTATTGTTGTGGTTTTGTTTTGGATCAAATATTGTTATGGTTGAATCGAAGAATTTTTGACCGAGTCTTATACATATTTCTGTCCGGATTTAATTGCGAAACTCCTCTCATACAAGATAATTGAACTAGGAAAATTTGATTCGTCTTTTTGACAAGACCACCAAAACGCCAACAACAACACAATACTTGCTAAATTATAAAATTTAGAACATCTCCATCTATAGTCGACACTCTTTAATGGTCTTGCATATAATATTAAAACATAAACAGTAAAATATTTGTTGGGTTTCATCAATTTTGAGAAACCCACACAAAAGCATAGGAAAGAAAAAAAAAATTACTTCCGTGTTCCGACATCTATTGTTTGTGAGTGTCCACTCCCACTTTTGGTTCTTGGATGTAAGAATACATATATCACGGTATATTTTCTAACACTTCTGATCATTTTGAACATTCTGCCTTAATTAAATGGCTTTTTATGAAGAAAGCAAACATACACTAATTATCCTACTCTAAAGTCTAAACATAGCTTTTGCTTTTCGCATTATTGGTCTTTCTTAATATATACATTCCTCTTTCTTTAGGCGGTAAAAATTATAAATACTTATAAGCCACATTTGTATATAAGACTTTACAAGAGTGTTCACACCTGAACAAGTTACAAACTTACAACAAACACACATCCTCTAAAACATGGATGCATGTTTAAACTCTCTTTCAACACACAATAAACAAAAAGCAAAAAAAATCCAAGCTAGATTTTACACAACCAAACGATCTGGTCAAAGAGCAGCTACTTAATTTTTCAAATCCACATCAAGAAACTCAAATCTGATCCCATTTTAGCTTTAAGTGGAAAGGATGTTAAGAAGAGAGACTCTAGCTTGTATCATTACCTTGAAAAGTCCTTCAAGTCCCTCTTCAAGCTCTTCCATGGCTGTCTCTACACCTTCTGATCTAACCAATGCACATTGAATTCTCTCACTTATTTCTTCACTAATCTCTTTCACCTCTTCTTGATCTTCCCTTGTCGTCATCACAACAAGCTTCCCAAGTTCAGCTTCCATAGCTTCAAGCTCGAGACAAGAAAAACCCTTCTCATGATCTCTCTTCTCCTGATTATGATGATCTATTCCTTTTTTCACAAGCTTCATTACAATCCCCCAACCTTTGTGATGGTGATGATTCTTTGTCTTTAACCCTTTAGGCGACGACAAGAACGACAAGACCGATCGTAACACGAAACAAGTCATCACACTCGTCTCTTGCATCACTCTAACCAAAGCACTCAACTCTTGATCATCATCACACCAAACACTACTCTCCAAACACGCATCTGCCTCTCTCGACATTACCATATTCTTCTTGATCTCCTTCTTGATCTCTTTCCTCGACGCCATGTAAGCATCCACGTCACTCTCGAGGCTAAACTCACCTCCCTTCTTGCTCCGTCTCAAAGCAGACTCAACCTCGACAACACTCTTCTTGATCCTCGAAGCCGTGTCCTTAGCTCCTCCACAAACCTCTAAGTACTTTAGCGACACTTCAAGAAGCTCATCCATCAAGCCGACTCCATTAAGAAGAGCTTGTTGAGTTCCAGAAGAAGTCTTGAAGAGATCTTCACTTAAACATCTATAAAGCTCGGTGAGACCAGAGAGACCGTCACGGACCATCATCCTCGACTCTAACATAGAGGACCCGAAAGCTCTAACCTTGGAGACCACTTCTTGAATCCTCCTAATACTCGGGTGTGACCGAACCGGTAAGCTAACACATCTAGCTTTGTATGCTTTGTGGAGTCTCGGAGACAAGGAAGACATAAACATCTCAAGTAACGATGGTGAAAATGGGTTTTTCGAGTTATGCTTTGTTCGGTTCTTTAACTCTAGGGTTTGTATAAATACACATAATAATGATATAAATGTCAATGAGTAGGGCCTAGCCTAAGACGTGAAGTCCATGTGAAGTGAGTGTGGGTACTTCACTAACGAGGAACAGAACACGTAACGCTCATTAAATGCTATGTGGTTTGAATTTTAGTTAAATCGTTGTCGAAGTTCGATGTTTCGGTTTCGGTTACTAAAACCGAAACTTTTTTACACCTCTTTTCATGCACCAAAGGCACCGTCCATTTACGATTCATTAATATTGTTGTCATTATTTAATGATTTTAATTCTCGTTGGATTTTGTTTCTTTTGAAGGTTTCAAATAAAATACTCTTTCTTTAGTGTGTGTGGGTACCTCGTTGAATTTAATTCAAAGATCTTTGAAAGATTTTGTTACATTATTTATTTAAATAGTAATAAATTTGAAGATATCTATCAATCTATGCACGAATGATTTGGTCCCACGCTATAGAAACGATGCCTCCCTTAAATAACACCGTCACACGGCAGCAATTTGTTACCATGAATTTAGGAAATGTCCTTCAGATTATACATTGACCATGTTAGACCTTTTGGTTTGATTTTGGGAATATTTAATTTCGCTTTAAG